TCTATCTATCTCTCTATCTATCTCCCTCTCTCTCTCTCTCTCTCTCTCTCTCTCTCTCTCTCTCTATCATGTGATTCCCGTTCTCCTGCTCATATTTGTTGATTTAAATTAAAGTCTAGTTGTTTTGAAACCTACATGAAAGACATTTTCTGTACTGGAAAATATTAACATAACCCATCATTTAACAATGACTCTTCTGTGATTAATTCAGGGAAAGTTTCCTCTTCCACAGCCCTCTGTAAACATAGACTTAGCTGTAAAGTAGTCACCGCTCCAAGCTCGCTCTTGTGATGGACTACAGTCTCAAAGCAACTGAGTAAACACAAGATGAGAGTGTAGTCCTTCCCAGGAGCCAGCTTGGAGCGGTGACTACTTTACAACACACACAGGGACCATGGGGAACAAAAGTAGCCCCCCTCCAGGAGGAAATACAGTGTCAGCACCAATTCAGAGATGATTGGAGGATCTACAGCCAAACGATATACAAATACGATACATTGTTGTTCATAGTTAAGATGCTAGAATGTATTTCTAAAAAGTAACTCCCGAGTTTAGTGTCACTTTAAGCATTGTGTTTATACAATGTGTCATTTATCTGCCCAAAATAGTTACAATTTAGGTAATAATTATCCTTTTATATTTAGTTCCTACTAAATATCTGTGCTATTTTCAGGATACACTGCCGGTATTCCCAAGGAGCCCCGAGACATAACCATGAGGGACTGCTCTGCAAATCCTCCGGTGAGATATTGGGAGTAGGAAATGGGTGTTTGTCAGCAAAAGTATTCTTTATAACGGAACTCTAAAGTCAGGGAAACGCCACCTGTGTCCCGGCATCTGTCATTGATAATGTTTTTGGTAATTAACCCCTTTAGTACTGGAGCAATTTTTTAATTTTTGCACACACACATCCTAAAATCTGAATTTTCAGAAAGAAAATTACTTTATATCCCCGAGCAATTCTATATTTTCTGAAAGCAGAGGCACTGTAGAATGAAAAAATTATAGCTGAATTTTTTATGTTGCATTATATTCACGCAAATGTTTATCAAATTGATAGTATTAGGAAAAGTAAAACACTAAAATGGATTTCTACTGCAAACACAATATAATACCCGTTTTTTGGTAAAAAATAAAAGGAGGTCACGTCGAGTAAATAGATATCAAAGATATCATGAGTTCAAATTAGGCGCGCCTGTGCCATGGTGAGAAATAATGGTATTCAAAATAGCCTTTACCGCTCATCAGTTTGGAGTTAAGAGCCAAGTTATGGCCACAGAGTTATTGTTCTCACTCCGATGTTCGTAGCGATACCTAACATGTGTGATGAAATTGTTGTTTACTTACATGAGCAAGCGTGTTTATCCACAGGCAGATGGCAAGGTTGGTTTTCATTTTGTAAAATTTTGATTTTATTATTTTTTACTGTTTTTAACACTTTTCTTTTCACTTAACTTTATTGCTTTCACAAAGTGAATAACAAGCCCCTATGTGATAGCATTTGGAGGTGACAAGTTCTCCTTATGGAGACATCTGGGGTCCCCTTCCCTCCAATACAAACATTTAAGCACAGGATTTTCCTCGATCGCTTGTGCAACCAGCACTTCAACCAGCTTTTGACAGCCCTGAAGCAGGAAGCACCGAGAGCACAGCAGTAGTGGCAGTGGGTGGGGTGATCTGATTTAGAATGGATTGCTGTCATCAGAGGCTTATCAGCCGCTAATGACTGCTATTCATTTACACAGAACAGTCAGGGGGACGTTTCTGTTATCAGTGGCGTCACAAGGGGGTGCGGCATGCACCTGGGTGACACCATTGGAGGGGTGACACCAAAATGACTGACAGTCATTTTGGTGTCACCCCCTCTAAAAAGTCGGGCACTGGACCAAGAGTCCGACAGTTTCAGGAGAGACCCTACCTCATCCCGTTGGGTGAACGTCCCCTCCTCTCTCTGCCGGCGTGCACCACCAAGATGGCCACCAGCAGGCGTCAATTAGATGACCGTGCATGCACGTTGTCGCCATCTCTCCAGGTGACACCCGGCATCGGAACTCCCCTGTCTGTTATCAGTTCCCGGTTGCTGAAGCGACCATGAGCTTATAGCGGAAGGCTGAATGCAGCCGATGTAAGGCATGCTGAGCTGGCCAGCCGGGGACATTTTTGTTCCGTCGTATGCCTTTACGTTGGTGGCAGGGAAAGGGTTAAATAATCAGCCTCTTGCAGTCCCTGTGCAGCTGAACTCAAGGAAGGGGAAGGAGAAGCAGCACAAGGAGCTAATCAGTTCATATGGTAACAAGAAGCATAATGATAGGGGAAGAGAACAGAGTGATAGAGAGAGATGAGCTTATCACTTGCTGCTTCTACTGTCACTGTCCGGTCACAGGCTGGGGGCGGGTCCAGGATGTCCTGGGCTCAAAGGAAGTGGGTTGAATGATGCTGGCCACCGGACTGAGGATATCTAGTGGTAGAAAAAAAACCCTCTAGATTGAAGGTGTTAATTTTGCAGCTAAAGTGAGGGAGGGGAAGAACGAGGGAAGGCAAAATATTTTATTTATAATGTTATTGTTGTTAATGAATATGGAAGGTGGTGATGAGGATCACATTTGTTATTTCTGTTATGATTATTTTACTATCTTATTTTGCACCCAGTATATTCCACCCACTGCAAAGATTTCTACAGAAGACCTGAACAAACTCCGCCAGGAAATGAGAAACCACAACATCAGCGCTTACATCATCCCTCCGACTGACCCCCACCTGGTGAGAAGAATAATGTCCTTCTTCCTAATAACCTGAGTAATTTCAGAATAGGAAAGTGCTAATTGTGTCATAGAGACTTGGAGACCCCCTACTGTACTTTGGTGTAGGTTTATACCGCAGCCCCTCCCCCCTCCCAGACTGCTTTTAAGATAAGGGTTCAGACTTCCCACAGCCCTCGGCTTTCTGCATAAAGGCAACAGCCACACACACATAGCTTTAGTTTTATCCTAGGCATCATTGTGACAATTAAACGATCAGTAAGTGCTGTAGGGATTCCCTACAACATCCTTTCTCAACCTTTTTCTTACCTCAGAAGGTCCCCTCAATTAGTGGTCTGGTCTCCCTGCTTAAATGATTATGCATACAAATCATGGTATGTTAGACACACCACATTGGTGTTCAATGAGAGATTGTGCCCTTACACTATTGGTCAGTGAACAGAATACCCTGGTGGCCATTATAATGGTGATCTTTGTAGCGGTCCCATACATTGGGGGACAGTGGGGAGAATGCTCCTTACATTGGTGGTCATTAGGAAGAGTGTCCATTAAACTGGTGGTCTTTGTAGTGGCCCCATACATTGGGGGGGACAGTGGGGAGAATGCTCCTTACATTGGTGGTCATTAGGAAGAATGGCAGTTATACTGGTGATCCTTTTAGTGGCCCCATACATTGGGGGACAGTGGGGAGAATGCTCCTTACATTGGTAGTCATTAGGAAGAAAGCCCATTATACTGGTGGTCTTTGTAGTGGTCCCATACATTGGGGGGACAGTGGGGAGAATACTCCTTACATTGGTGGTCATTAGGATGAATGCCCATTATACTGGTGGTCTTTGTAGTGACCCCATACATTGGGGGGGGGGGGGGTACACAGTGGAGAGAACGTTCCTTACATTGGTGGCCATTGCAAAAAAATCTCCCCATTACACACAGTTTATATGATCATTGGTGACAACGGTTACATATCCGAGAAAAGGGAGAAAAAGCTCCAGTGGTCTCATGCCGCTTGCTCTGCCAAGTAGTATTGGTGCCAGAGCATTGAGGGCACGATCAGGTGGGACTTTACTCCACCACTGCTCAAGGAAACCCTAACAACCTATGGAGTAGGGATGGACTCATTGGTGGATCTGAACCCAAGATGTTCACAGTTCATTGAATGGGTGAATGATTTTGCCAGTTCAGCTGTCCCCCAAACCTCCTTCTGTCTCCTAGCGAGCAATATGGCTCACACAGCATCATTGGTTGACTGGTGGCTTAGCTCCACAACATCATTGGTAGTTATGGTGCACCCTCCTGAGTCCTAGAAACCTATGACGCTCTGCGGCCCAAGAGCTAGCCTCCTAGCAACCAATGATGTTGTGTCTTTGCTTGCTAGGACATAGGCAGCCCAGGTTTAGGCTTGGACATTCGCCGAACCCACACTTTCGGCTGGGTATGGTGAACGTCCAAACAAACCGAATCCAAACCATTTAGGCTCATCACTACTCTGGAAGAACCCTAAGGTTTCAGGGAACCGTGACTGAGAAACGTTGTCCTACAGGGTAATAAAAGGGGTCATAATCATTCAGAAAGATTTATGTAACAAGTTTGAAAACCTTTTTAAGCTCTAGAAGCGGTGATTTTTTTTACCCACACATAACCTTTAATATGAAATAAAACATGATAGCGACGTACTGACACATCATTCTGCATCCTGTACACAGGGGGGGTACACTGCAGACCGGGAAAAACGAAGACAATGGCTGACCGGATTCAGTGGATCTTCAGGTAACAATCCAAAAAATGCTGTACTGCACCTTTAAAGCTGAACTCTAGGTAAACAGCTCCATTGAAATGCATCGGGGTGGACTGTATTATAAGTCAAAGGATTTGTAATTCTGATCTGAGAGAGATTTACCCAAACTGCTGACAATGGTCTCACCAGATAGGAAGTGAAGGGGAATCTGCAACAGTAACACAGCACAAAGTAAAGATCGAGTAGGCAAAGGGTAGAATCCCTGCCAACTTTTTATTTCTAAAATGACAAAAATAGGCAGCACATAGTCCTCAGATGTTTACTGAGGTCACAATGCAAAAATTACAATAGCAAAACCACCAAAAAGAAAAAAAATCGAAACCAACGACATTTTGGAGGCACAGAGGCCCCCCTACTCTCATGGTGACAGACCAAGGTGTGTGTTTGAGATACAATCCTTCCCCACTCCTTGCAAAACAAAAACTAAAATGTAACATCTGTTTGCTTTAAATGTTTATATCCAGTGCAACGCCATAAAAATTAAAATGTAATCACCATTCCGTTCACTGAGATAAGATAGAGACAGAGTTTTATCAGCTCATCAGATCACGAGATCTCATATTGTTTTATTACTGTGTTTGTTCTAATCTGCACACGAGAGGCTACATGACTGTGCTTGACTTTATTAAAGAAGACGCCGTGCCTTATACTTTCATGTTACATTGCTGAATATTCATCAGTGGGAAATTATTGGCTTTGAGTAA